TGATTTTTTTAATTTCACACCAAGAAAAGCAATCAACAAAATCAGAAAACAAAAACAAGTGGGACTCTATCAAACTAAAAGTGTCTGCACAGCAAAGAAAACAAAGAACAACATGAAAAAGCAACCTAAGGACTGGCCTAAGGACTGCAAGAAAATCTATCTAATCAGAGTTTCATATCCAAAATACGTAAGAATCTCACACAACTCAATTGCCAAAAAAAGTCAATCTGACTTAAAAATATGCAAAGGACCTGATTAGAAATTTTTCCGAGGATGACATAAAAGTGGCAAACAGGTTTAAGAAAATGTGCTCAACATAATTAATCATCAGGGAAATGCACATCAAACCTCAATGAGACATCACCTCACACTTACAGAGATACCACAATGAGATATCAAATCATGAGATATCACCTCATAGTGTTAGAATGGCTATTATCAAAGACACAAGAGATCACAAATGTTGGTGACTGTGGAGAAAAGGAAACCTTGTACACTGTTGGTGGAAATGTAAATTGATCCAGCCATTATGGGAAAAAGGATGGAGGCTCCTCAAAAAATAAAAAATAGAAGTACCATGTGAACTTTCACTCCCATTTCTAAGTATATACCTAAAAGAAATAAAATCTGGTGGGTGCAGTGTCTCACACCTGTAATCCCAGCACTTTGGGAGGACAAGGCAGGCAGATCACTTGAGGCCAGGAGTTTGAGATTAGCCTGGCCAACATGGGGAAACCCCGTCTCTACTAAAAATACAAAAAAAATTACCCAGGGACGGTGGCACACGCATGTAATCCCAGTTACTCAGGAGGCTGAGGCACCAAAATCACTTGAACCAGGGAAGCACAGGTTATAATGAGCCAAGACGGCACCACTGCACTCCAGCCTGGGCAACAAAGTGAGACTCCATCTCAAAAATAAATAAATAAATAGGCCTTTGTCTTTCCCTGTAGCCGCAGCTCCGGGTCTCATCTTCGCTTCTCTGTGTCCTGTTCTCCTAGATGCCCAGCTTTTGTGGCCCTGTGACCTGCAGGTATTGGAGATCCACAGCTAAGACGCCAGGATCTCCTGGAATCCTGGAAATGGAACCGCTGACATTTAGGGATGTGGCCATAGAATTCTCTCTGGAGGAGTGGCAGTGCCTGGACACTACATAGCAGAATTTATATAGGAATGTGATGTTAGAGAACTACAGAAACCTGGCCTTCCTGGGCAGACAAGCAACCTCATCAAGCAGCTCCCTGACACCACAGCCAGGTAAATCCACAAAGATGGGAAAAAACCAGCACAAAAAAGATGAAACCATCAAAGACCAGAACACCTCTTCACCTTCAAAGCATCACAACTCCTCAACAACACAGGATCACAACTTGACCGAGGAGTGCAACGAATTGACAGATACAGGCTTCAGAAGGTGGCTAATAACAAACATTTCTGAGCTAAAGAAACATGTTCTAATTCAATGCAAAGAAACCAAAAACCTCGGGAAAAAGTTAGACAAAATGCTAATTGGAATAACCAGCATAGAGAAGAACATGATGGAAGAATAAGAACTTGATGGAGTTGAAAAACACAGCACAAGAACTACATGAAGCAAACACAAATTTTAATAGCCAGGTTGATCAAGGAGAAGAAAAGATATCAGAGATTGAAGATCAACTCAATGAAATAAAAAGAGAAGGCAAGATAAGAGAAAAAAGAGTGAAAAGAAATGAACAAAGCCTCCAAATGGGATTATGTGAAAAGACCTAATCTATGCTTGATCAGTGTACCTGAATATGATGGGGAGAATGAATCCAAGCTGGAAGACATGTTGCAGGATATTATCCAGGAGAACTTCCCAAGCCTAGCAAGGCAGTCCAAATTTCAAATTCAAGAAATACAGAGAACTCCACAAAGATATTCCTCAAGAAGAGCAACCCCAAGGCACATAATCGTCAGATTCACCAAGGTTGAAATGAAGGACAAAATGCTAAGGGCAGCCAGAGAGAAAGGCCAGGTCACCCACAGAGGGAAGCCAATCAGACTCACAGTAGATCTCTCTGCAGAAACCCTATAGGCCAGAAGAGAGTGGGGGCCAATATTCAACATCCTTAAAGAAAAGAACTTTCAACCCAGAATCTCATATCCAGCCAAACTAAGCTTCATAAGCGAAGGAAAAATAAAATCCTTTATGGATAAGCAATTATTGAGAGATTTTGTCACCACCAGACCTGCCCTACAAGAGCTCCTGAAAGAAACACTAAGCGTGGAAAGGAACAAGTACCAGTCACTGCAAAAGCAAACCAGTTGGCAAACACCAAAAATGCAATGAAGAAAATGAGTCAACTAATGGGAAAGAAAACCAGCCAGTAACAAAATGGCAGAATCAAATCCACACATAACCATATTAACATTGAATGTAAATGGCCTAAATGCCCCAGTCAAAAGACACAGACTGGCAATCTGCATAAAAAGTCAGAACCCATTGGTGTGCTGTATTCAGGAAACCCATCTCACATACAAAGACACACATAGACGCAAAACAAAGGGATGGAAGAAGATTTACCAAGCAAATGGAGAACAAGAAAAGCAGGGATTGCAATCCTAGTCTCTGATAAAATGGACTTCAAACCAACAAAGATCAAAAGAGACAAGGAAGGACACTACATAATGGTAAAAGGATCAATCCAACAGGAAGAGCTAAGTATCCTAAATATATACGCCCCCAACACAGGAGCACCCAGATACATAAAGCAAGTTCTTAACGACCTAAAACGAGATTTAGACTCCCACACAATAACAGTGGGAGACTTCAACACTCCACTGTCAATATTAGACAGATCAATGAGACAGAAAATTAACAAGGATATCCAGGACTTGAATGCAGAGCTGGACCAAGTGGACCTAATACACATATACAGAGTGCTCCACCCCAAATCCACAGAATATACATTTTTTTCAGCACCACATTGCACATACTCTAAAATTGACCACATCATTGGAAGCAAATCATTCCTCAGCAAATGCAAAAGAACAGAAATCATAACAGTCTATCAGACCACAGCACAGTCAGACTAGGACTCAGGATCAAGAAACACACAAACCCGCACAACCACTTAGAAACTAAACAACCTGTTTCTGAGTGTCGACTGGAAACTCTGTCTCAAAAAAAAAAGAAATACTAGACTTCCATAGAATCAACCCAAATGCCCATCAATGATAGACTGGACAAAGAAAATTTGGTACATATACACCATGGAATACTACGCAGCCATAAATAATGAGTTTGTATCCTTTGTAGGGACTTGGATGAATCTGGAAACCATCATTCTCAGCAAACTAACAAGAACAGAAAGCCAAACGCCGTATGTTCTCACTCATAGGTGGGTGTTGAACAACGAGAACACGTGGACTCAGGGAGAGGAGCATCACACACTGGGGGTAGTTGAGGGGGGTAGGGGGAGACAGCGGGGGGTGGGGAGGGAGGGGAGAGTGGGGAGGGATAACATGGTGAGAAATGCCAGATATACTATGCACCTAAAGTAAATAAATTAATTTAAAAATTTTTTTTAAATAAATAAATAAAATTGGTATGTTAAGGAGAGATCTGTACCCCTATGTTGACAGCTGATTATTCATAATATATAGTGGAATATTATTCAGCATAATGAAGAAGGTAATCCTGCCATTTCTGACAACAAGGATGAATGAACCAGGTGGACGTTATGGTGAATGAATAAGACAGAGAAACACAAATACTGTATAATATCAGTTATTTATGGAATCTAAAGAAGTTGAACTCATAGAAGCAAAGTGTAGAACAATAGGTCCCCATAGCTGAGAGGTGGTAAAAATGGGGATACTCTGGTCAAAGAGTACAAACTTTCCTTTAAAAGATAAATAAATTCTGGGGATCTGATGTATAACACTGTGAATACAGTTTACAATACTCTTGTACTCTTGAGATTTGTTAACACACTAGATCTTAATGTCCTCTCCACAAAAACCTGACAACTATATGAGATGATTAATGTGTTAATTAATCTCATTGTATTAATCATTATACAACACATATATATATAAAATCAAATTATCAGGATGTATCCCTTAAATATATATAATTTACAAGTGTGGGGAAAAAATCCACATGAAAGAAGGAAGCAAAAGAAAAAAGAAAAGAAAAAGAAAGAAAATGAACATAAAGAACACCTTAGCATTAACCTTCACACTTAACTAGACAAAATTATAAAATACTATTAATTTATAAGGTAAGAGTTGACAGGTTACTATATACTGGGCAATGGTTCTAAGCTCCCCACAGACATTCATTTAGTTAAGAATTCTACATAGTAAGTAACATATTAAATGATTTTATATCTGTGGAATTTGTGCATGTAGAGCTTATATTTCTAATCTTAGTCTAGGCTAGGAAAGATGAAAAGTTGAAGTGAAATATAAGATCAGTTTTTTTTATATTTAGGAAGATGCTTTGTGCTCTGATGAAATTACTGAGTCTCAATTTTTGTAGGATCATCTTGGAAACCACTGTAGGATTAGAAATTCAAATACCAGAAAATATGTGACATCTGTCCATAGAATTCTTGGAACTTCTAAAAAAAAAAAATCCCACTGTCCATCACTGCCCTCACACTCTTCTGACATGAGGCAAAAACAGAACTTTAAAAGTGGTTTCACATAGAGGTAGAAACATGCACAGACTTCCCCAGAGCCCCCAAATCAATGGAAGAGCAGCCAGATTACACAGGCCCTCACAGGCCAAGGGGAGCACTTTGGCTGTCACTGAATTTGATGGTGGATCACAGAAGGTGAAGGAGAATCATTAGATAATTTCAGAGCATGAGACAGAAGATATCCCTCTACGACAGCAAGAGAAATAAACTCAGGCATCTAAAAAATCATTTCCACTGGAGAACTTCCCAATCCACACTTCAAGGTCTGGTTCTTTCCTGACCTCTGGACCTCTCACTCATGTCATCTATTCATTCACTCCCGCCTACCTGGCTGGATGGCTACTGTCTCTATACTCTTCACATTGCAGGGCTCTTTCCTTTGCTCCAAAAACGTGATCAGGTCCGGCTTAGAGACAGCAAAACCTGTTTTATTAGAAAAAGTCACATGACTCTTGCTGGGAGTTAATTGCCAACTCAGTAGGGTACTCAGTAAAGAGGGAACATTATAGAGGATTCTAGAAAATTACTTCCCCAAATACTGTTTCCTGTCAGCTTCTTTAGAATATTTAGGAAGCATTTTAAATATGGGAATCCTGAGCTTCACTTCCAAATATGACTGAGTCAAAAATAAGGAGAAGGAATTGGATTTTAAACTGTGGGCAATGATAGTTTATACCACTCAATTTCTAGAATCACCACTAAACTAGAGTGAAGTTTGTACATCACCTCAAGAAAGAAGGCAAATGCCAAGATCAAACATTAGAAAGTTTTTTCTCCAATAAACCCCTAATTTTTTTTCCTGGAAGTAGGAATCTGAATTCATTCATATAAAGCATAAGCTCCCAAGAAATATTCTACAAAGGAAAGAAAATAAAACCCTTAGTTATTAGATATTAGACATTCCAAAGCCAAGTTATCCTCACCCAGACAAACCAGGTTTCTGTAGTTCTCTAACATCACATCCCTATATAAATTCTTCTGATTTGAGTCCAGGTGTTCCCACTCCTCCAGAGAGAATTCTATGGCCACATCCCTGAATGTCAACAGTCCCTGAAATAAAAATAAATAACACATTGACCCAAGATGAAATAAGAGAGTTAAGAGAACTGACTCTGATTTATATGAGTAACCTAAAACAATAAGATATGTTTTAAACACAGTAATATTTTCTAATGTATTCTCTAACTGTGGAAAGAGAATGACATAAGATCCACAAAACCAGTGTAGATACTGTGCCTATATGGAATATAAAATATGCCCTAAGGCATCAGGGCTGGGTGCGGTGGCTCATTCCTGTAATCCCAGCACTTTGCGATGCCAAGGTGGGATCAGGAGTTTGAGACTAGGCTGGCCAACATGATGAAACCCTGTCTCTACTAAAAATACAAAAAATTAGCCAGGCATGGTGGCAGGCACCTATAATTCAAGCTATTCAGTAGGCTGAGGCAGAAGAATTACTTAAACCCAGAGGTGGAGGTTGCAGTGAGCCAAGATAGCATCATTGCACTCCAGCCTGGGCAACAAGAGCAAAACTCTGTCTCAAAAAACAAAAATGAACAAACAAAAGAACCAAAAAACTAAGGGATCAACATAGGAATATACATTGTTGAGAGCTATATTTACATCATCCACAATCAGTTGTGTGTAATTTTCAGGTGGAAAAGTCATGGTGACTTAGTGGCATACTTCTCAAATTTTATTGTATTCAAAAATAAACTGGAGAACTTAGTCAAATGCAGATTCTGATTCAGAAGATCTGGGGTTGGGACTGAGCTTCCACATTTTTTTTCTTTTTTTTTTTTCCTTTTTTTTATTGCATTTTAGGTTTGGGGGTACATGTGAAGAACATGCAAGATTGCTGCATAGGTACACACATGGCAGTGTGATTTGCTGCCTTCCTCCCCATCACCCATATCTGGCATTTCTCCCCCTGCTATCTATCCCCAACTCCCCACCCCGCCCATCCCTCCACTATTTCCCCACAACAAACCCCAGTGTATGATGCTCCCCTCCCTGTGTCCAAATGTTTTCATTGTTCAACGACCACCTATAAGTGAGAACATGTGGTGTTTGATTTTCTGTTCTTATGTCAGTTTGCTGAGAATGATGATGTCCAGGTTCATCCATGTCCCTACAAAGGACACGAACTCACATCGTTTTTTATGGCTGCATAATATTCCATGGTGTGTATGTGCCACATTTTCCTGGTCCAGTCTATCATCGATGGGCATTTGGCTTGGTTCCAGGTCTTTGCTATTGTAAACAGTGCTGCAATGAACATTCGTGTGCATGTGTCCTTATAGTAGAAAGATTTGTAATCCTTTGGATATATAGCCAGTAATGGAATTTCTGTTTCTAGGTCCTTGAGGAATCACCACACTGTCTTCTACAATGGTTGAACTAATTTACACTCCTACCAACAGTGTAAAAGTGTTCCTATTTCTCCACATCCTCTCCAGCATCTGTTGTCTCCAGATTTTTTAATGATTGTCATTCTCACTGGCGTGAGATGGTATCTCAATGTAGTTTTGATTGGCATTTCCCTAATGACCAGAGTTTCTGCATTTTTAACAAGCTCACCAGTGATGCTAATGCCTCAGGTCCAGAGGCCACACTTGAATAGTAGAGAGGTAGAACACTGAGGAAAGAACTCAGGGATGATGTGGAATTGAAAGTTTTATGAAATTGACAGGTTATAACATAATAACAAGAGTAGTAGAATCTTTTTTTGAACATTTACTGTGTACCAGATGTCATCCTAGCAGTTTTTCATGTATTGATAAAGCCATAAAAATAATCTATGTGAGAAATAATAGTATTCTTCCTCTTACATAAAAATATCTTGCCAACCCTCCCCGACTGAAGCCTGAAAAAAACTTTTTTGCCAAATAGCTAGTACATAGTAGAACTTATATTTTACCCCAGTATCTTAGAATTCATTTTAAAGGGACATTCAGGCCAACATGCAGAGACAACCATAAAAGAATGTTCAGAGCAGGTGTCATAACTGAGAATGATGACAACAGGAAGGCAGCAACACAAAACTGATCAAATGCTGCTGACGTCATACACACACGTACATAGAAACGGTAACTATACATACATGGTAAGTTACAGGACATTTCTTAATAAAATTAGGAAATATTTTAAATTGTGTTAAAACTATAAAACTTTTCATGAACTATCCCTTTTTCTGTTTCTTAAACTATGAAGACCAACACATACAATGATATAAATTAAGAGCTTGTGTTTCTGAGTCTGGGTTTTTTTTTCCCCCAAGTTTTTGTTTTATTTATTCTATGTGCTGTGTTATATTTTAAAATTTTAAGACAATAGACATATTAATTACATTTTAATTGTTATCGTTCTCTGAAAATACAGAGAATAAGGAGAGTATGCTGTGACATGAGTAAAATAAAAGGAAACCTACAGAACTCAGGCTTGTTTCAGAACTTCTAGTTTCAAAAACCGGTATCTACAGTCAACAAATATGAGAGCCTTCACTTTCTAAAGCAACCTACAAGCAAAGGAAAACTAAAAAAAAAAATGTGAGTCTCTGGATTAAACAAGATGGTTTATATGCATCTCTCAGTAAATCTTCCCCTAGATACTCATACAAAGAGTAAATAACTCAACAAAGAGAAAAGTAACTAAATAGTGAAGGAATCTGGCCAAGAGCACCTGAACCAGGTGAATGAAGTTAGCATTGGCTGTAATGAGACAAATTGGTATCAGTGCCGACTCACAGATGGACCCATAATCATTGCTGTGATACTAGTGGGGGAAAAAAGTGAATCATAATCAGAACATCATAATAAACAGGACCTGAAGGGAAGATGCAGGTGGCCACGTTTCTTCAAACTGGCCATGTGACCCTGCTTAGAAGCCTGGGCTGAGACCCACTTAGCTAAGCATTGTCTCTCAAGCTTCATATGCATACACATCATTTGGTATTCTGGGGCCTGTGCTAAGTTATATGATTCTGCAGGTTTGGAAAGGTTCCATGAATTGGCTTCTTTAAGACTTATTAACAGTAGCACTCAGCTAGAGGAAGTGAGCACAGCACACAGAGTGTGTCTGCTCTGATATTCTAATCACAATACAAATACTTTTCATTCACAGCAAGGACCACCAACCACTGTCCTGAAAAATCACATCCTTTGCCAGCCATTTAAAGTCTACAGAAGGCTGGAGAAGACAGTAACATCTAAGTCAGCATTTGGAAAACAGCATGGATACCTGCATTAAAGCAGTGTTTACTGAGCTTGGACTACATGCTCACAGTATGTACTGTGCTGGGAACATCACATGGTGTGAGTTAAGCCACATAAACCCCTGGGATGTGGATCCTGAGTATCCCATAATTCCCAGCAGGATGTAGATCATGGCCCCAGCCTTTCCATTTCTTCTCTGTTTCCCTGTCACTATAAAAGCTACCTATAGATGGACTGGAGGGATACTGAAAGGAAGGGTGAAGTTTAGTTCATGAGGATTTCTCAGTGCTGTCTTTACATTGACTTTGTTACAATTTGTGGAGCAACTACTGGATCTGCAGGAATGGAAAAAAACATTGCCAGGTGGGATGTCTCCAGAAGCACTGTTTTCAATGAAAAAAATTCAGGCCCCCATATTGTCCTTTGTTCCCATTTATCTGCTTTGTGGTTTGGGGAAAGTGTGAGCACCAGCTCTGGAGAACCAGCAAGAGCAACAGCTCAAAACTCTGATCTCCAACAAACAGTTCTGTCAGCATAGGCTCCAAGGTGAGAACAGATCTGAACCAAGCTCAGAAGAGGGTGGATTTGGGCAGGGCTGGGACACAGCAAGGCTAGGGGCAGGGGGCAGGCCCTAGGCTTCTTATCTCTATGTTGCTGGTTTATTTTCAGTCCTGTCTTTCCTAAGCCTGACCACAAGAACTTGACTCCCCGAGTTTTTCTGATTTTAATTGTTTCATTCTTAACTATTTTGTAAATCCATTAACAAGCAATTTAATCAAAACGCATAGGGCTTTCTGGGAATATTATATTAAAAACCAAATCAAGAGAAAATCAATAGAAATAATCATAACTCTTCTGTCCATGGGTGGCCCTTCAGGTGGTGACATCAGAACTACAATGTGAACATATGGGCAATGTCCCAAATCAAGCCTAAGTTCCCTGTTCTTGCTCCTGACCACATGATGCTGAATTTGGCCACTATCCTTCTGCTCTAGACTGAAAGTTCCTGGATGGTAGCAACTATGACTGCTGCATCTGTTTTTCCAATGGACACATGAAATGGAAGCAACTGGTTTACCTGCCAGTCTGAGTCTCCAGACCTCCTCTCTGTTCTTCACCCACATATTAGAAAACTGGAGCAAATCCCATTTGGATACCAAATAAAGAGATTCCTTCTGTGAGTGGGGTGACAAATCCTGGATGACACTTTCCTTTCCCTCTGAGATGGAAAGATTAGATCTTGTGGTCAGCCTGACCTCAGCCTGCACAGGACATCACCATATGTGTCTCAAGGATTCGCAGGTGCTGGTGATCCCGTGCTGATGCCCCAATAGTGATTTGGGCAGGAGAGACTCAGCTGACTCTGTGGGGCCAGGATAGAAAGCAGAACTGCCCCAGTGAAGCCACAGACCCTGGATCCAGGTGCAATATTACCTATACCTGATCAGCTAACTCTTGGGTACAAGAGAAGACAAGATGACCCTACTCCAGTAACACAGCTCACAGGAAGGTGTAGCTTCACTCAGGGCTCTGGACAGTTGTGGCCCTGCCCTCCCTTGGTTAGGTGCTGCTTTACACTCACAGATTCTGCCACCAGATTCTGATTAGACCAGAAGGCCCTCAGAAGAACTGCAGCAGCTCACTGGAAAAGATCTGGAAAACCTGAAGGAACCCACACAAAATGTAGGACTTTACAAGGTCTATGGCAATCTCTCATAATGCAGAAAATGTCCCTGGATTTTCTATACATCCTCAGTCCAAAGTCTGGCCCTGTTTTGAGGATCCCAGGTGCAGACCAGCATTTATGTGCAGACTCCAGGTGGAATCAACCTGGCTCTGCATTCTTGGGTGTTGCTGTGAAGACAGAAAAACTCGAAGAAACAGCCCCTCAGGAAGGCTGCTCTCACACATCCTGGAGAACCCCAGGACCTGGGTGCAACATTTGGAGCTGCAGTTCTAGGTGTTGGAGGAGCAGGGAAGTGGCAGGCACCCTCTGCACATTTGTGGGCATTTGCGCAAGAGGATGAGGGGAATGTTGAGATTCTCAGGTGTACTCAATGCACGTGTGTGCCTGGTTAGTTTCCAGGCCCCATGGTCTCTGAATCAGTTTCAAGACTGAAGAGGCCAGAGGCATGGCAAGACAAAGCTGGAATGGCTAAATGATGCCCTGTGAAATATTTTTGTAGAAAGCTGTCCAAATTGTTGTAGAAAGAATTAAAGATTACAAACAAGCAGAGAGACCATTCTGTCTGCAGATGTGGGGGACAATGGACAGTCTGCTGCACAACTCTGGTTGTGACTGAAAGTCTTACATGGAAGGCCCCTCTAGCGTGAGGCCTGGTAGGCATCTTACGTTTCATAATGTTTGGGGAAATATAATTAAATACAGAATCACTAGAAAAACTATCCACAAAGGTAGAAAAAAAGAAAACTGTTTTATGACACAATCCAAGCAGAATGTGAGACATTACAGGCAATCTGCTAAGAGATTGGAAAACACCCACTCATGAAAATTCACTATAATTAGTACTCAAGTGGAAGACCTGGCAGCACCGTTTGTCAGAGTTCAAGGTAAATTCACCTGGGAATTGGGAGGCCATTTTTTAACTGGTTATATTCAGAGGAAAAAGCAACTTCATGTCTTCGTGACAGGTAGATTTGCAACCTGGAGCAAGAACCTGAAGGTAGATGCCTGCTCTCCTAGAGACACTGTGAGATATGGCTCTACCTTATTTGCTGCTTACATCCCAAATCAATGATTCCCAGCTCCTAGAGAAAGAACGTCCTGCATCAAACAGTCTGGCGGCCTGGCACCGTGGCTTACCCTGTAATCCCAGCACTATGGGAGGCTGAGGCAGCCATATTACCCAGGGTCAGGATTTTGAGACCAGCCTGAACAACATGGTGAAACTTCGTGTCTGCTAAAAATACAAAACTTAGCCTGGCATGGTGGCTGGCACCTTTAATCCCAGGTACTTGGGAAGCTGAGGCAGGAGAACCGTTTGAATCTGGGAGGTGGAGGTTGCAGTGAGCTGGGATGATACTACTGCACTCCAGGCTGGGCAACACAGCAAGACAAAAAAAAAAAAAAAAAGGCCGACAAAAGACAAAAGGTCTGTTTAGCTGTTAGAATGATTTAGAAGTATTTCCAAAACTTATATATATATATAAATTTTCTAAAGTAAATGCTTCAAGAAAAGGAAGGAGAGAAACATGTCTTCCCTTATTTTCAAGGAGGGTTAATCTCATATTTCTAATTTGCATTTGTTCTTAAAACTGGGAGATCTAGGGGCATAATCTTGAATTCATGGACATGTGAATTCCAGCAGGCGCTGGATTCAGGCACCTGAGAGTTGGCCTTGGACACACTGCGTGTGCCTAAAATGGGGTTTGTAGATCAGATATGGTGGCTCACCAGAGGCAGGTGGATCACTTGAGCCCAGGAGTTCCTGATGAGCCTGGGCAACATAGTGAGACCCTGGTCTCTACAAAAATTAGCCAGGTGTGGGAGCACACGCCTGTAGTCCCAGGGATTCAGGAGGCTCAGGTGGGAGGATCACCTGAGCCTGGGGAGGTCGAGGCTGCATGATCATGTTACTGCACTCCAGCCTGGGTGACAGAGTGAGACCCTGTCAGGGTTTGTAGGGAAGTAAAAGGCAGAAGGGAAGGTGCTACTAAGAACTCACGCATGGCGGGCAGCGCAGAATTGGTGGAAGGACTGGTTTGTGCTACAGACACTGGCCCAGGTGGTGCTATGCTCTGACTTATTCCTGTGTCCATGCAGGCAGAGATTATGACTGGGTGGTCTAGAAGCCTTGGTTGATGGAGGGACTGGGTGTGGGTTGCTCCTCCAGTTTCAGGGTCTGGGAGCAACCATAAGCCAGAAGTGCTCTAGGCACTTGTGTGGGAATTTGGGCAGGAAACTCTAGGAGCAAAGGTGCTATGGGCACAATTCCTGAGGGTCATGTCTTGTCCTGGAAGCAGTGTGGCCAGTCAGTGCCTAGTGGGTGTGTTCAGGAGTGGGTGGAATTATGTGGTGGCAGCACAATGGGGGCAGGGCTCTGTTCTCAGAACTTCTTCCCTTTCTGTCCTCAGTTGCCTCTCCCTGGGAGGAGCCATGGAATCACAGGACTATGTGTAGGGTGACAGCCTGTGTGCAGGGGAATAGAGCCTCCCTTCTGGAGGCACCCAGAGTCTCTCTCCAGCCCATGTCCCTGTGCTGTCTTTTTTCTGACACTAAATGTGTGGAGTTTGCTGAACAACAGCCAATTCTCCAACACCAACTGGTGGTCCAATAACTCAATTCTGAGGCAGCACAGACCCCACAAGGTCAGAGTTCAGTGCCATGATATCGTCCCCACTACAGATGACAGTCACAATCCCCAGGGTCCATCTAGACTTCAGAGCTACTAACTATAAACTGGGGCCTCCCATAATCCCCTACTCAAGTTCATTCATTTTATACAAGGACTCACAGAACTCAGCAAAGACTCATTGGCCAGTTTATTATAAAAGATACAAGTCAGCCAAATGGAAGAGCTGGAAGGGCAAGAGAAAGTGGTAGGGAAAGATGGGGTGGACAGTTAACCCTGGTAAGCAGCTGTGATAAAAGAAATTCCCCTTCCTTTGTGTTCTCCAAGAGCAGCTTACTGCAAAGAATCACCCTTCCCATTATGACTTAGATGATGCTCCCTGTTTTAGGTATCACAAAGCCACAGAATCTCCTATTTCCTCCCCCCACCCCCCCCCCCCCCCCGCCGGGGCCCATAAGCAATTAAAGAGTTTTGTCTTTGGTGGTCAGAATAAAATATGTGTTAACCAAACTTGCTTAAGTTTCTCTCCTCCAGGTCCCTGAACTTTGTCCCACGCACAGACTGAGCCAACAGTCAACCCCTCCTTATGCCCCTCCTAAGAACAGGCTGACTTAGGGTGAAACATTCTCTGATCTGGGATCTGATTTTGCCCCAGAGTTGTGCCATTCCCCTCCCAACTTTAATCATGTTTGCTCCTCCCTATGAAAGAAAGGCCTTTTCTGCCTACACTGTGAGATCCACAGAAATCTTACAGTTGGTGCTTTCCTCCTCATGCAACACTCCTTTAGAATTAAGGAACTTCTTACCTAAATCCAGTGCTTTATTTGACAAAGTCAAGAAACAGCCCCAGGACACTAACAATTCCACCCTCAGAAAGAGCCTCCCAACCTCAACCACATACACCTGCAAATCCCCCGCTTTCCAGAACTCTGCAGCTTCTCCCAGTACAAAGGGCTCCCTCCATGGCTGCTGTGAACCTCGGGGACACCTGAAGGGGACGCTCCCCAGGAGGAACTAACTGGGCCTTCAGTGACCTCTTTTTGCAGGCTCAAAGAAGACTGAGGTCTTCTTCCCGGTCAGGGTTATTCCACACACGCGCTTCTCCCTTCACAGGCTCTGTCCCTCGGGTCCCTCGAGGTGGGCTGCCTTTTTCCCGTCTCATTAGCTCTCCTCAAGCATCTAGTGAACTCTAATACCTATCCCAGGATAGCAAACGTCAGGCCCTCCTACGCTTTCTGGGCACTGCACACCTTCTGGGGAGTGCTGCCAATCCCACCTCAACTGAAGGGACAGGGCAGGTGCCCAGCAGTCAGATGTTCAGTGACCTAACAGGTTTCAGGAAAAGAGCAAAATCACTCAAACACAGTTTCTATAGAAAGGAAGGAAACTGTACGGCACTTACACTTTATGCCTCAACAGGAAAAGCCGAAATACCTCTTTCAGACAATAAACATGGAATTTAATTACTTCCACAACAGCAGATCATTTAGTATACGTGAACACTTCTAGGGGTGCCAAGTCCTGTCTCACAAAATTTGGCATTAAACTCGCACATCCAGATAGCTGTAGAACATGGAACACAGGTATCCACTGTCACAATTCCTCTATTCTGCAAGAGAGGACCTGACGTTTTAATGAATGTTTGTAATTGACCAATTAATCCAGCACACTTTCTGTGGAAATGTATTCGTTTTCTACAGCCATAGTGGAAGAGAGATTGTCCCTATTTTCTTTTCCCTGGCAACATTCAAAAGCTAAGCTCTGGGATTTTGAAATCGCTGCTACAGAGGACCCTAAACCACAAACCACGGCGGCAGGCTTCCCATTTCACCAACAATTTTGGGCAAAAACCAAAGGGTGTTTGCCCAAATACACCCTTTAACGCCTCAAGGGTGACTCTCTATAATTTGTAAAAGGAAAAAGGAGCGACTAGGGATCCCACGGGGCACAGTTTCTTCCCACACGCGAATCACACTCGCACCGGCGTCTTCCCTAAAACCCTCCAGTCCTCACGGCACAATTTGGGGAGACGCGAGGCTGCCTAGAGACCGCTCCGGCCAGGGCCGGCGTAGCCCCGCGGGGTTGGGACGGCACGGGACGCTCGGGGTCCCGGCTGCCGGCCCATTAGCCATCGTGGGGCGGAGGGGACCGAGGGCCGAGTTGCGCCCGCGGGGACTCGAGCTGACGGCGGGGGCCCGGTGCCCCCACAGCGGGTTCCCGCCGCTTCCGACCGCCCCGCGCCCTCCTCTGCGGATACCCGACGCGGCACATTCACCATTTCCCAGTTTCCGGGATGTCCTGGCGTCTTAGCTACGGATCTCCACGTGCCTGCAGCTCACAGAGCAACAGAGGCTCTGTTTATTCTCAGACTGCGAAGCCGCCTGGGTCTCTCGGATCGAAGGACTCGGAAGCAGGGTGAGGCGGCGACCTGAGCTCTGACTGCGGCCAACAAAGGCCCCAGCCAAATCCCGGAAGCCGCCCCTGGTCTCAGGCTGCTCCTGATTGGACGATTTCCACCCCAGCGCCCCTGATTGGATAAAGCTCCAGGCCACGCCCCTCATTAGTTCATCTTTTTTTGAAGGACACAGGCTCTTTGAAGTGCTGCCGCCTGCCAGGGGTATTACAGCTAATTTTGGGGTGAGCCAGGACTTGAAATGCACTTGCTTTCCCTTACATGGTTCTGCTTGTATAAAGCATCGTATTAGCTAAGTTTAACGAGAAGGGTATTTGGACACCTTTAAAACAACTTTAACGTTTTAATAACACAGGAAAGACTCTCATCCCATCCCTTAGCACCTCTCTCACCACACCTTACCGCACGGCTCAGGACATAACTGTGAGGACTACAGAGGGAACTGCTGGGGGTTTGGGGAGCATGCAGGAGGCTTCAATGGCCAAGGCACTGGTGGTTTCCCTTGGGTGTCACTTAAAATCTCGAGGTCAGGGACATCTTTTTTCCACTTGGCTAAGGGAAACTAACAAGCATGAGGATTGTAGTTTCTTTTTTCTGAATTTCCAGGCAATAAAGGACTATCCAAACATCCCAAAAGGCATTCAATTATAGATGAGGCTGAGGGCCTCCCTGCTCTGGAGAGGGATGGCCTGGCAGCAGCCATTAGCTGCAGTGAGCTGAGATATCACCACTGCAATGAGCATTTAATTTACCCTCTTGTAGACAGGGCACCTCCACACCCACTTCTGACTTCGCAGGCTCTGTCCCTCAGGTCCATTATGGTGGGCTGACTTCTTCCCATCTCATTAGCTCTCTACAGGTATCTAGTGAGCTCTAAAAACTACCCCAGGATGGCAAACGTCAGGTCCTCCTCCACTCTCCCAGCACTCATGCCGTCTGGGGAGCGTCACCAATCCCACCTCAGCTGAAGGGACAGGGGCACGTGCCCAGTCAGACGTTCAATGACCTAAAAGGTCCAGCATGCCCACGGCCTGGCCCCACAGCCTACCACCCCTCCCCAACCTGGTCTTCACTCCAGCCTTTTTTGTTCTGTTACCAATGATGGGATGTTCAACTGTGCCACAATCCCATGAGTCTAGTGACAGCCAGGTAAACCCCAACTGAGTGCCTGTGACTCTACCCTCTTACCTCCCACTCAGGTGACATTACAAGCATAACCTTGAATTTGACCTAATTTATACAGATTCCTCTCTTAGTAACCCTCACAATCCAATGAGACTGGGGCAGCAGGTTCCAAAATCTCACTTTATTCCAATGTGAAATGAAGACACAATGGTTCAAAAATGAGAAAAAGTTCCTCATCAGCTGTGGGGGTGCTCCACTTGCCAGCAATGCCCACCCCCTCTGAAACAAGGTGTCTGGTGACACTACACCCATAAGCAACTCTCTGCAAAGCCCCAGGCAGAGGTCACAGCCTAATGTGGCTCCCTCAGGCTCACAAGGTAGTAATCTCCTCCCCCAGTCCAGGCTCCAATAGCAGGCACAGACAGGTGGAGAGAGGGTCCAGCCGTGGCCTGTGGGGTTCCCTGCCACCCCCAGAGTTAGTCTCTGAAGAAGGTGCTGTGTGGCCAGAAGCGGGGCTCCACAGAGAGGTGACAACCCCTCCTGTGTCTGTAACCTTTCCCCAGGATCCATGATTCGGCCCTGGTTCCCCAGGTCCCTTACCCACCCCACACTCCGTGTCAGGTAGCTCAGGTTAAAATGGGGAGAATGATATATTCAGACTGTAGACCCCAAGGTTATGTCCATCTGGGGTACAGGGAGCAGGGAGGCCAGTCAGAGCCTGTGGCAGCACCTCCTGCTGGGCTTGAGGGCAAACAGGCCAGGCTGGGCACAGGGACATCTAGGGGACCACCACTGACAAACCAGTCCCCCTCAGCCTGGAGCTACCACCAGGCCAATCATGATAAATAAAACCACTGCAGACTTCATCCTGCCACAAAACTAAAGTGCACCCCAACCCCAGCCCTGCCACAGAGCCCTGGCTCCCCATCTTTTTTGGCTTACGACTTAAGACATTAAGCCAGGTTGGGCCTGGGAGTTGTGGCAGTAAAAGCAGAAGCCATAATGTCAACCATGCAGATGAGCTGAGAAATCCCATCTGGTCATCCACTCAACTGTCTCGGGGCAATGTACAGGCTGGGAAGGACAGATCAATACTCACACCCTCCACACCCCTGCTGGAAGATGGGGAGGCTGAAGGAAATATGGGGAGCCTGAGGGAAAGATTAGGAACCCAAGGGGTCCCACAGCTAGGAACTGAAGACCGTACACTCCATTTATGAGTCTTCAATTAGGCCTCTGCATTGCATATTCACTAAACCAGTGCAAAAGCATCTTTTAGGAGGGCTTGCAAGCTGGGGTCCCAGGAGGATGGTAGGGGTGGAACGTGGAAGAGGGGCTCACCTCCTCTTCTGATCTGCAAGCCTGCCCCCTTCCTCTGGAGTCTGCAACACCGATAATAGGGCCGCTGACTGTCCCTCTGTCTCTCCCTCTCAACCCCTGTAAGCTCGAGGGAGAAGTTTCCTTGGCAGCCACAGGACTGAGAGCTCAGTTCCTCTGGTCCGGCTGGCTCAGGCTCAGTGACCATAGGGTCCTCATCCCTAACTCTGTTTTCTTGTTTTTGAGACAGGGGTTCACTCTATCACTCAGGCTGTGGTGCAGCGGCACAATCATGGATCACTGCAGCCTGGACCTGTCCAAGTGATCCTCCCACCTCAAACTGCCAAGTAGCTGCAACTACAGGTCACACCACCACACCAGGCTAGTATTTGCACTTTTTCGTAGATGGGGTCTCATCATGTTGCCTGGGCTGGTCTCCAACCCTTGAGCTCAAGTGATCCGTCCACCTCGACCTCCCAGAATGCCCTATCCCTGTTTTACTGGATTCCTGGAGCTGGTGGTGCTGCACCACCTCTGCTATCAGATTCTCTTAGTCTTCTGGCAGGAGAGGAGGTGGTTAACAGACTGGGCCAGGGCCCTCGGCCCCCCTCTAGCTTGGTTAAACTCCCGCTTGAGACAGATCAGGGTCTGTGCCATATTCAGTGAGACGTGTCAAACAAGTGCTTCCCTCCCAAAACAAAAAGTTCCCTAATTGCTGACAGTCAGGATTCCACGCACGTGACTCAGCCTAGGGCCCAGCTGCCTCTCACTCTCACACCGAGTTCCAATCGCTGCACTCTGTGGCCTCCTTGCTACCAGACTGGGTGTAGACAATGGGTGTGGGGCAGGGCTGCTGACACCCCTGGCTGACCAAACCCCTTTCCCACCATGAGGGGAGACAAGGCGGGAGGTTAGAGGCTCCCAAAGGCAGCACTGCTTGTGTCAGCACTGCAGGAGTCCTCAGGGCCTGCTCCTAAGGCACACTTTGCACTGGAGTGAGAGGCAGCTGGGAAGGAATAAAGCCACTCCTTAGGAACTGAAATGGAAGATCACCAAGAAATATTGTTAAATGAAGTAAACAATAATAACCTTCATGTGAGGCCTGCCACACTTTCAAAGGAAAAAAGGGGAGAAAAGATCACATGGAGTATTTCTGGAAAGATTCACAAGGAACTTCTCATCACTGGTTGCACTTTTCAATTTTGGGCCATGTCAGCATATTACATATCTTAAAAAACTAAAGGCCAACTTCTAAGTAGCAAGCTGTGGAGGGGCCCCAGCGAAGAGGAATGAGGAGGATGTCTCTGACGACCTGGAGCTGCTGTAAGACGCTGGCCATGCTGGGAGCTGTGAACCGAGGGGCTGTGGGGATGAGCTGTGAGTGAGGCTCATCCTACTTGGGCTGGGTGGGGGCCGGGCTCCACCCATGGACACACCTGGAGGGGCGGGACACTGGCACTGTAGCCGATGGGTAGATCCTGTTCACAGTGCACTGCTGGGCCACGGCCTCCTGGGCCAGGCCTTTGAGGTTCTAACCCAAAAACAGGGGAGAGAGCAGAGGCAGGAAAGGGTCAGCTACCCACAGGTGCAGTTCAGCCCGCCAGCCCTGGCACAGCCCACCTGTGCCTAATAGATGCTGTCAGCTTCCTTCTGCTGCAAGGCCGACCAGAACTCAGCTTTGCTCTCACACACCCAAGCAACAAGATGGTGGCTACCAGATCTCCCCAGAGAGGAAGAAGACAGCCAGAGTATGGAGGTGACAGATGGGGGTCCCCATCAGGCCAGGACTCTCAACAGAGACAGGAATGCCTCTGGCTTCTGAAAAAGAGTTACTTGTGTGTAGGACATTGAACATGGTCAACTCCTAAGCACGAAACACCAGCAGCAGCAACACTCAGGGACTGTGACCTTCACAACCACCCAGCGACTTCCAAATGCTCCTAAAGAGAACAGCACAGCTCAGCTGGGCCACTGGTTTGACTGCTTGCTAGCTTGCAACCAACACAAAGCTCCCGATCTGCATTTGGGAGCCTCATGGCAAGGAGGGTGGGGGATGGGGAAGGGGATTTAGTGAGTGTGGCCAGAAGGAGCCCTGCTCCACTGTGCAGAGCTTCTCTCCTCAAAGATCCAGCCCCAGAACAACCCAGGGCGCCCGTGCCCCCAACAGGGTGCAGCGGCTGCAGCTCCAACCTCACAGGGCTGCTCCTCACCTGTGCTCCACGAAGGCATCCACCAGCTCCTGGCGCAAGCAACAGAAGCTGTGTCTGTAGGTGCAGGAGAAGGTGGCACGGGAGCACCCCTCTGGCAGCTCCTTGGGGGGTACAGTAAGGAAGCTGAGGTGAGGGGAAGGGGGCTCAGCAGGAAGAGAACACAGTGGCACCTGTCGTTGCCAGTGACGCCCTTGCCCTCACCGAGAAGAGCTCCGCCTCCTCATCACAGTGCTTGAGCACACAGTGTCACAAAGTCTTGAGCAGTTAACTCTTGCTCCAGCAGCTCCAGGCACCACGGGGACCACACCACTGTTTTGCAAGGTCAGTGAAGCTACAGATGACACTCTGCTCCTGGTCCCATTCCAGGATGCCAGGGATGAGGACTGGAACCTGACCCAGTAGCTGCAGTCATCCATCTCCACCGTGTACAGACCCTCCAGGTCCGCTGCACTGCACAACTGCTCACCATTCAGGTCATGGTGAATGCTATGGAGGCCACCGTGTCCCCAGCCAAGTCCTTGTAGTGGCCACTAACAACAAAGCCCAGGCTGAAGACGATGTGGCTCCAGATGAACATCTGCAGCTTGGTCTCCTCAGTGGGGCTGATGGCCATGACGATGCCCCCCTGACTACCATGGTGCCCCATGTGGCTGCCACCCTGAACCTGCTGTGTGCCTGGGAGGGGATGAGACTGGGAAGGGGAGAGACCATGCCCACAAAAGCCTCAGGCTACATCCACCTGGCCCAGCTCATCAAGATGGAGGAGGCAGCCAAGCCTGCCTTAGGAGCCAGGGACTCTTGCCTCAGTTTCCTTATATTTAGAGAAGGGCAAGAAAACCATTTTTTGAAAAAACCAAACACTTAAGGAGGTGCAGAGCTTAGTGGCTAACAAGGAGTACGAGGGCTGGGGCAGGTTTGGGATCCCCCAGTCATGTGCCCAGCGAACGCGGGCAGGTAACTTCAGTTTCTCATCTACACAACGATGACAAAAAGTACTGATATTTACAAGGGGACCAGAAGATTATAGGAAATGATGCTTGTAAAGCACTTAGAATCATCCTGGTAAAGTTAGTACCCAAGAAATTACTTCTTCCATGATCACCTCTAGGCAGGAGGTTTAGGAGAGACTTTTTTTAAACAATTATTTTGTCCTCATTTCTCTCAGAAACAGCATTAATGATGTTTAAACCCCAGCGAGCTGAAAGTGCTATGTCAATGAGCCCCTGCCCTAGAACGGCCATGATGGGCACCGTGTGCTCAGGGAAGGGTCCCATGGCACTCAGTGGAGGGTGGGAAGCTGGTTGGCTCTGGCTGCTCAGCCCAGATAGCAGGCAAAGCCTTCTCCTCCCAGGGACCCAAAGTCTCAAAGAGGTCAGAGAAAGGTGCTGGGATGGTCTGCCAGGAAGCAGAAGGCTAGAAGGTCTTCAGGGCACCTGACAGGGCTGGGACTATACCAGCTTCCCTCGCTTCCCTCCTGTGCACAAAAAAACCTTCCAGCAGGAGGCAGGTGGGCCTGAGGCTGTGACGCTGTCACTCACTCACCAGGGGCTTCGGGCCCCTTGAACATGGCTCTTCCTTGCAGCAGCTGCTCAGGTCGGTTCCTGTTGGCAGGTCCCTCACTGCCTGCAGCTCCTCGTTCCAGTTCTGGGGCTGCAGAGGGACCAGGGAGGGAGACAAGGGCTCAGCCTGTGAACTGCATCCTGCTCTGGGAAGTCCCTTCTCCTCCATCCCCACATACAGCCCCCAGATTCCCCAATGAGGAACCCTCAGGAGTCTCAGGGAAGTGCACATGGAGTCTCAGGGAAGTACACAGAACCCCACCTGGCACCCAGGAAGGAAGGGGGTTCCCAGTGAGGGTGGGGTCAGGCCGCAGGCCCCTATGCAGGACTGTGCTCCTCACAGCCCAGCCTCGAGGTGCAGGTGCTTCTCCACACATGCAGTCCATAGTGTTCTCCGTCACAGGGGCCATCCAGCTGCATGCCTGGAATGGGGTGACCCCCTTTGTAATGGGTGGTGCTAGACCCGATGGCAGGCAGGGGAAAGGGAGATGGGGCCACCCACCCATCTCAGGGCCCTGTCACCTGTGTGCTTAAGTGCAGGACAGAGCCTGGCCCCACTGATTCATTCCACAGCCTAAGAGCAACCCCGGAGCAGAGGAGAGGGAGATGGAAGAAAGAGGGGAGGGAGAATGGCAGCCTTGCTCTTGCCCTTGCCTAGTGCCAAGGGCTGAGCAGCCCAGGGCAGATGGCCTTTTCCTTCCTGAAGTGGTGCTCCAGGGCCCAAGCCTGTGAGCGGAGAGGACATGAGAGGGCCTTGCCCGGCTCCCCACCAAGTTACCAGCTTGCAAGTCCTCTGGGTTGGCTCTGTCCCTGGAGAACACCCAATATCACCACCACCCCCATGTGACAGATGGTAAGGTCATGGCCCAGAGAGAGGTGACTTGCCTGAGGGCACAGAGCAAGAGGCTGGGGGGTCCTGGGACCTGACACTCCTCACTCCTCTCCCTGAACAGGGCTGGTAGGCCCAGCTGCTAGCTGTCCTCTAGCAATAAGGCAGTTACCTGAACCGGGACTCCATTCCCAGGTCCACCACGCTAGCAGAGTGACCCAGGCAGAGCCCAGAGCCCTCCATTTCCTGCCTACAGCATTTGGCCAGGAGGAGCTGGGGCAAGGCTGGGCTTTCCACCCTCATCCTCCCAGCAGGCTCAGGCCCTGGTCCCCAGCTCCCCTCCTCCATTGTACCCACAGGGAGAAGGGCTCGATCCCGGGGCCAGGATCTCCACAGAAAAGCCTGAATCCTGAATGGTGACTTCCTATTTGGTGGTGTCATCTCCTGGCTTGGCCTCATCCAGCCCATGTTCCCGAGGTGGCTCAGCCTCCTCCTTCCTCCTTCAGGCTCTTGCTCCTTCACGCTCTCCAGGCAGTTCCCATTCAAGAATATGAGTGATGGTGGCTCTGGGGGTGACAAGAAAGGCACTGAGTTGGATGCGCCTCGATGGTGAGGGAGGGCTGTCTGCCTCATCCCTCCTGGGTGGGCATGAGTCATATGGAACAGTGTCCATGTGCCCTCCTGAGCTTCGGCCCCACAGTCCCAGCTCACCCTCAGCACACCTGCAGGCCGCCACCTTCTCCCTTCCACATCCCTTGCCTCCCTCCTCCACTGCTCCTGGACCCACCGCAGTCTGGCTTCCACCTAAGCTCATGCCCAAAGCAGTCTCCCCACATCACCAGGGCCACCCTAAGGGCCAAGAGCCAGGGGCTTCTCCAGCCCAGACACATCCCTCTACTCAGCAGCACCCCAGGCCATGGCTCATTGCCTCCCTCCTCCCTGACCAATGCCACACCCTCGTCCCCCCTTCTCCAGCACCATCCTCTTCCACCAGTCCTGAGCTGGGGGGTGTTGGGCTCCAGCTCATTCTCTCCTCACCCTCTCCCATGGCTTCAAAGGTCCTCCCATTTCCCAGCTCTCATAGCCAAGCCTGGCCTCATTCAGGCTTCTCAGACCAAGGAGACAGCTGCCTGCTGGGCATCAACAGATGACTTTCCCTTCAGTATCACAGAAGACTTGTCCTGCAGGGAGGAAACTCAATTTCCTCAACAAGCCGGTCTCTGCTCTGCGAAGGCCCCCCATTCCTTATGAAGTCACCCACCCTGATTCTCCTTTCTCATATTTCAACAGTGCCACTTGGAACCCTTCTAAGAAGTGGACTGCTCATAAAAACAAGCTGGCTTTTTTTGTTTTTTGTTTTTGATACAGAGTCTTGCTGTGTTCCCCAGGCTGGAGTGTAGTGGCATGATCGAGGCTCACTGCAAACTCCGCCTCCTGGGTTCAAGCAATTCCCCTGTCTCAGCCTCCCAAGTAGCTGGGATAGACACACGCAGCCACCATGCTTGACTAGTTTTTGTATCTTTAGTAGAGACAGAGTTTCATCATGTTGGGCAGGCTGGTCTCGAACTCTTGACCTCAGATGATCCACCTGCCTCAGCCTCCCAAAGTGCTGAGATTACAAGAATGAGCCACCAGGCCCAGTCAAAATCAAGCTTCTTAAACCAGTGCTCTCAGACACTAGTCTAAGGGCAACCCCAACTCCTGCTGCTCCTCCACTGAGGTCTACATTCCCCAAACCACAGAAGCCTGAGAATACCTGACACCTGCCTTCTCACCGCTGTGCTTTTCCATGCTGCCCCTGACATCCCATTCTGTGGAACAAACACTGACTTGTCCTTTAAGGCGTAGGTGAAAGCGGCTACAGGTGAACTATTGCTGCCCACCGGCCGCCCATCCTCCTTCCCAGAGATCAGTGGAGCCCCAGGAGGAGGGAACTACGTCTTCTGATCTGTCCACAGTCTTGACCTCCAAAGTTTAGATGTGGATGGCGTAGAATAAAGGCAAACTTTTTATTTTGCAGTTTGGCCTTGGCCCTAATGGTCAGGCTGCATCTGCTTGAAATCCACAATAAAGAGCAAATAGTTGACAATGTTGTGAATTACAGAGGGGAAGCCAGAAGTTGAGAATCAGGAAAGGAAGTGAAAATTTAGAATTCTACTGCAAGCCTTAGAAGAATTCGGTTGGGGGAACAAGGTGGCGGATTTGAGACCCTGCTTGCCATACATTTGGAAAATGCAGGGAAAATCAGTCCCCCTGTGGAGTGTTAAAATAATTAAATGGGAGGGAGGCACTTACACTGAAATGGCTGTAGTGCCCTGGGTTTCTACCTAAGAAAACCAAAACGTAACTCATGCATTTCTTGTAAATAACTTAAAGGAAAACAAAACAGTTTTAACCAACCACAAACCACCAATTAACCTTTGATAGCATAACCAGGAAATTTCTGCCGGACAGTTCAAATAAGGGGACTACACAACTGCAGCCAATCAATTACTGAATTGGGTTTGCTTCCTCATGCACCTTATAAAACCCTTTCCTTCAAGCCCCTCCGGTGGACCCCAAACCATAATCCGAGATTATGGCTTCCTGATTCACGAATCGTTGTTTGCTCAAATAAAATCTTTAACGTTTTAACCAAACCCGAGTTGAATTTTTAACACAACAAATAAGGACCAGGGACCCCACGGACCACAGCTCCTCCTAAGTCCTAACCCCGCACCCCAAGTCGGGTTTCATCCTTAAGGACCCTCCCTTCATCACCGCACAACGTGGGGATACGCGGGGCTGCGGGCGCCGGGCTGTCCCAGGCTCCGGGCAGGGCCGAGGTCGCCGCGCAGGGGCGGGACGGAACGCCCAGGGTCCCAGCTGCCGGCCCAGCCGCACCGTGCGACCCAGGAGACTCCGGGTCCAGACTCCAGAGCTGCCCGGGGGAGGCCCAGGTCGCCGCCGGTTCCCGCCAGCCCCCGCCGGCCCCCTACAGCGTCTTGGGAAGTTCAGCCCCGCAGACTCACCAACTTTCGGCTTCAGGAGCTCCCCGGTATCCTCTCTAGGGACCTTCGAGTACCTGCAGGTCCTATGGCAGAGAAGACTGCGGATCACAGGAGAAAGAGCAGCCGAGACCAAGCACGGAAGCTCACCTGTGCCAGGAAAAATCCAGCCAAGAACTCAAGAACCGCTCCCCCTTTTCGGGCTGCGCGCCTGATTGGACTGGCTCGACCAAGGCGCCGCTGAATGGATAGGGCTCCAGGCCCCGCCCCTCGCGCCCTGAGTGACAGGCGATGCTATCCCAGGTGTGACTGAATGAGGCCTGAATGAATGACTGTTGCCTGCTGCCCTTTTCATGCTGGGCTGACTTCCTGTGCTGGGCCCTGGAGCTGCCAGGAACATTGGCATTTAACCTTACACATAAGATTACATCAGTTTATGAGTATGTGTTTAATATTTAAAATTGGAAATTATATAATAACGATTCTTTTAAAATTTCAGATTTCATTAACTTCATGGCCTCTGGTCCCTTGAGGAGGCAGCATGAGATTTGATAAGGGAGAGAGTCGTCTAAGTCAGCCGCATGTGACATTTACAGTAGTCTAGTGGCATCATGAAAGGAAAACAGGTGAAATTGATGGTAATACTTTAACCCAATAGATCCAAAATATTATCATTTAAATATATGAGTAATATAAAATTATCAGTGAAGGTGTTTGGGTACTAAATCTTCTAAAGTCACTCTGTATTTAAGCCTCTAGCACATCTCAGTTCCAACCAGCCCCATCCAAAGAGCTCAGCAGCCCCACGTGGGCAGTGGCCGCCACAAGGAAGGGCAGCTCTCAGGGCCCTGGCGAGTCTAACCTCAGGAAGTAGAGGTCCTGCACCCGCTTTCCAGCCAGAGGTGAGGGAACACCCTCATCCGGCCCATCTCGCTCCTCATGCCCAAGGGCGGGAGAGGGCCCAGTGAGAGAGCAGCTGCTGCAGTCAGGAGGTGTCCATAGGTCGACCACTGCTGCCCACCTGCTGCTGGGCAGGGGTCCTTCACCCTTCTAAAGGCCAGACAATGAACGAAGAATGTAGGGCTTCAGGAAGAGAAACCTGCCTTCAGATCTGTCCACAGCCTTGATCTCCAAAGTTTGAATGCGGAGGGAATAAAGGCAAACTTTTTATTTTGTGATTTGCCCTTCACCCTGCTGGTTAGGCTAGAGCTGGCTGTTTTCTCCTGTGGTGTGGGGACTCCGTGAGTTTAAGCACCAAGCATGTCAACATGCATTTCGGTGTAACTTATCCCCATCTATCAAGAGGCTCACTTAAACAAAGAGAAAAGGAAATCAATACCTACATAGTGCCTTCTGTTTGGCAGGTAACCAGTAGTAACCAACCTGTCATTTGAATCCTAGGATCCTGACTGCACAGGTGTATGTATCAGTTAGCTACTGCTGCATAAAAAACTACCCTAAACCTTATTAGCTCATGATTGGGATGGTCAGTCATTTAGGCAGGACTCTACTGGGCCATTCTTCTGGTCTCAGCTTGGCTCCTTCAGGCATGTGTGGTCAGCTGCTGGTTGACTAAGTGACTCTGCTTCTGGGGGTGAGCTGGCTGTCAACTAGGGCACCTTGGTTTTCCTCCCCATGGGAGCTCATCCTCCAGCAGCCTAACATGTGCTTGTTCCCATGGAGATGGCAAGTTCTAAAAGAAAAAGCAGAAGCATTCAAGGCCTTTCATCCCTAGACCCCAAACTGTCACACTGCCATATTCATAGCTTCCTATTGCCTAGAACAAATAAGGCCAGTCCAGATCCAAGTGTCAGGAAACAGATTCTGCCCCTCTGTTGGAGCAGCTGTAAAAGCATATTCCAAAGGGCACGGATACCAGAGGGGATGCAGACTTGCTGCCATCTTTGCAATCTGTATCATTCTGCCTTTTCTTACAACAAGGTTTATAGAACTGTTCCAAGTCAAGGAATTCGTCCAAAGTGCTACAGCTACTGAGTGGCTGGACTGGGACTCAGGATCAACTTTGCCTGACTCCAAAGCCCAGGCACCTCCATAGACCTGACAATTCAAGCAGCTTCCCTAGGCCTTTGAGATCCTGAAAAGTGACTCTTCTGCAGTAGAATAAAGGTTCTTTTGAGATGCTCATCCTTCTAGTATTCTTCACAATTGGGAATAATCTCCACCAGAGAATGCTTGTGAAATGTCTTGGAAACATATGGAATATTTTGGCAGAATGGCTGACGACTGAGTTTAAAAAATCAAGGCATAACTTTTCATTTCTTATCATTGGAGAGATTTGAAAGCACATAAAA